GCAGCCCTTCACTCAAGAACATTTTCAGGTCAGGTGCTGTGGCTCACGTCTGTATTCCTAGCTACTACTCATGATGCTGAGATCTGAAGATCTCGGTTAGAAGCCAGCTGGGGAAAAAGTCTTCCAGACTCTTATTTCCAAAAAGAGCTAGAAGTGGAGCTATGGCTCAGAGAAGTAAACCACTTGATGTTATGTTGCTTTGAGCAACATAGGCCTTGAATGCAAGCCCCGTGACCGACAAAAAACTCCCCAAAACATTCTTGAGTTCTAAAAAAAACCCAGGATCAGAACTTATCACCTACCACACAAATTAGTCAGGAAGCTGCCACAACACTGGAACTCAAGTCTAACCAAAGGGATTTGTTAGACAATGATTTTCCTGATCTTTATGAGTATGAAAATAATTAGTAGTTTATGTATTAAACTATTCCAAGTAGACCCTCAAAATACATTGTTTGATGACCTATTTAAAAACAAGTAAAAGCAAAATCTGAGTACATAAACTTTAGGAAATAGACTCTTTTCATTGTGGAAACTACATTGTTATTTCTTCAGAAACCACAGGGAGTACATCAGGTCCTTTACTGGAATAACCTAACATTTCAGTATAGGCTAATTTTTTTATTATAATCTAGTTTTATAATGAAATTGTGTTATAGTATGAGTTTCCCAATATAAGGATATGACTGTGATTTCTGCTCTACATAACAGTAATAAAATTACTGTTTGCAACAGTTAAAAGACATTCTATGTTGGGAAAGATAAGGATGAACAACAAGAGAGATGATGTTAATCAAAATGTATTATACTCATGATCTGATATGAGGAACTGAAACTCCTTTATACAACTATTTTAAAATAAGTTTGCTTTTCAAAAGTCATTCAATGACTCTCACATTTCATGTTTTTTACTGTTTCATATTTTATCAATATGTTCCAGAATATGAAGACTTGGACTTTATCATCAGAAGACTAAAATGACTTAATGAGATTAGGTTGGAAGCGGTGCTGTGGGCTCTAGTGGTAGAGTGCTAGCCTTGAGCTGAAGAGCTCAGGGGCAGTGCCTAGAGTTCAGAGTTCAAGCCCCATGACTGACAAAAATAAATTAAAAATAAATAAATAAATAATAAAAAGATTTGGGCTGGGAAGGTGGCTCATTGGTAGAGTGCTTGCCTCGCATGCATGAGACCCTGACTTCCATTCCTCTACCACATAAGCAGAAAAAGCTGGAAGTAGTGCTGTGGTTCAAGTGGTAGAGCGCTAGCCTTGAGCTAAACAGCACCCAGGCCCAGATTTCAGGCCCCATGACCAACCAAAAAAAAAAGAGAGATTAGGTCAAGTCTACCCAGTTTTGCCCAATAATAGCAAAGTTCATATTTCACTCAAATAATACTTATTATACATGAAAACTCAAATGTTAAGACTATTCAAAAGGGAAGCAACTGAGAACAAAGGTTCAGTTATGTCTTATTGCAGATTCATAATATGTTAAGCTAAATTAAAACCTCTATTTTATAAAAAATGTTTTATTCTTTGCCATTGTTTGTAATTGAATTAAACCTAACAGTCACTTCTCTAAGAAGTGGATGGGGAAAGAATAGAAGAACTTTTTCAAAATAATTTATCTCTGTAATATTCTTACCCAGATTCCTACCCTCACTTCAATTGGGGATTGTTTGATTAGCTTCATGTTGCATAAAGCTACTATGCTCTATCATGTCCCTGAACAATTCTTTTTTTTTTTTTGGTGGGTTGTGGGGCTTGAACTCTGGGCCTGGGCGCTGTCCCTCCCTCAGCTCTTCAGCTCAAGGCTAGTGTTCTACCACTTGAGCCACAGGGCCACTTCCAGCTGTTTTTGCTTATTGTAGTGCTGAGGAATCGAACCCTGGGCCTCATGCATGCGAGGCAAGCATCCTTTCCCTGAGCCACCTTCCCAACCCATCACTGAACAATTCTAAAAGCAACTACTCAGCAAGTCATTTTGGAAAATAAAAGAATCTAATATCCCTTAAGGAAATTAGTACATAAAAATAAAGACTATTATTATTTATAGATAAGTGACTGATAATGCTAGAAAGTTAAGCTTAGTGATATTTTTTAAAGAGCAAATTGAAGGAACTAATTTATCTAACTAGGAAAGAAAAATAACATATAAGTTTATTTGTTTAGGAAAAGAGGCGAGGATTGGCATAAGTAGGAACACCAAACCAGCTGTTCTCTTTTATGATGGGGTCACCAAGCTAACACTACTGCATATGTGATAGTCTATAAACTATCAGTTCCTTGAGAAAAGGAGCTAGAGTATACACTATACAGTTCAGGGCACTTTTATTATATATTGTACAAAGTTTGAGGACCTTCCTCAGATAATGAGGATAGAAAATGAATAAAACAAAATAAGGATACAGGTTGACTCATTGTAGCAATGAGATGTACAAGACACTATGTTAAAAACAAACTTTACAATGTGTGTGGGGGGGACACAGGAGGAGTTGGAGAGGGAGGGGGGGAAAGGATGGTAGGAGGAAAAACAAAGGAAGAGGTAACAATGCCCTAAAGGAAATGTACTCATTACCTTACTCATGTAACTGTAACCCCTCTGTACAGTATTTTTACAATAAAATATATATATAAAAAGAAAATGGAGGGGCTAGGAAGGTGGCTCAGTGGTAGAGTGCTTGCTTTGCATGCATGAGGCCCTGGGTTCGATTCCTCAGCACCACATAAGCAAAAAAAAAAAAAGAAAATGGACAAAACAGAATTCTACTGTCGGCAACTAAAAGTTTAGTGAATAGGATTTTTTAAAAAATTAGAATTCAATGTACATATATGAAATGCTATAACAAAAGTTATTAACAAAGAATTACAAGGAAACAGAAAAGAAATTGCTACCATCTTTCCTACTACCTAAAAAAATAATGCTTAGTTTCCTGACCTGATTAGAACATTAAATAAGCTACAGTAGGGTTACAGTTTTAAAATGTCATTTTTGAGAAGACTTTAAAGTCAGAACATACAAAAGAGCAACCCACAAATACTTTCTGAATATATAAAAATTGAGGGAAAAGTTAAACTCTAAAAAATGTTTCTAAACCATTCATCAGGGTTCATCAAGGTTTTATCACAAGAGACTGGGGTAGCAAATGCACTCCAGGCCAGTTGTAGCATTAACAGGTATTTTTAGCCCTAATAACCTTCCCTGTCTCATCTCAAGGAAACATTTAATACAAGTAAAAATGATGTGTTTGTTTTGAAGAGAGAGAGAGAAAGGGGAGAGGGAGGGAGGGAGGGAGGGAGGGAAGTTCTCTCTGCATTAACTGACAGCCTGGTCAACAAATGGAAACTATGGGCTTTCAAGTTTTGATTCATAGAGTTATCAATAACTTCCCTTTCACAACACTACCTTGTAGTTCAGTATGAGCTACTTCTTTATGTGGAATGTTAATAAACCTTTTCCTGGAAGAGTTAAGTGTAAATTTTTTAATATAATTTCCTCTTCATTTTAAGATAGATATTTCCCTTTGATAAATTTAGGTAAAGCTAGTTTTCCATTTGAAATATTTATTACATGTTAATAAGTAAAGCAACATTGGAACAACTCAAAAAATCCAGAGTATTAAAAGTTCTCTTTCTTGTTTAGTTTGTGAAGTAACTATCTTAGATGAATATGTCACATATTCATCTAAGTAGAGCACTCGCCTTGAGCTGAAGAGTGGAAGGACAGCACCCAAGCCCAGAGTTCAAACCCACAACCAACCAAAAAAAAAAAAAAAAAAAAAGAATTGTTCTGATTTACACATATACAGGACTAGAAGAATTATTCAAAAAATTCTGCACATAAAACCAAAACAAGACTATCAAATAATATAAAACACTTTCATTTTTAAAAACTATAGCAACAATCCTCAATATAACATTAAATTTATAATCTTAACCATTTTTAAGTATACAGTACAGTAATATAAAGTATACTTGTATCATTGAATAACCAATCACCAGAACTTTTTCATGTCTAGCCCATTAGACAATTCCCCACTATATACTTTCAAAGAATTTCACTACTTTAGATACCCTGTTTAAGTATAATGAGACATTAAGTATAATGTCTTTCTGTGGCTCGCTCATTTCATTTTGTATAATGTCCTCAAAGTTCATGTTGTGGGGATATGTCACAATTTCTTTTCAAGGTTGTACTGTTCCATTATTATATACAGTATATTTTTTGTTTAATCATTCACCAATGGACACTTTTGTTGATTCCTTCTTTTGACTACTGTAAATCATACTACTATAAACACATCCCTGTGCAAATAAGCCTTTGAGGTCCTGCTTTCAATTCCTATAAACCCAGAAATGGCATTGCTAGATCATATTTTATTTTTTGAAGAAACTTCAGTTTTTCATATACTCCAAAAAGGCTTTTAATTGGAAATAAATTAAATTAAAATAATTTTTAGAGTAAAGAAATTATTATGGGGGGTGGGAGATGGGAAGGGATGGGAAGGGGAAACAAAGGAGGAGGCAACAATGCTTGGTAAGAAATATACTCATTATCTTGCCCATGTAATTGTAACCCTCCTATACAGTATTTTCACAATAAAAAATTATTAAAATTACAATCTTTTAAATACAGTTGTATTTTGAGAAAAAGTAACAAAAATCTATTAAACTCTACCTTGTTTTGCTAAAACATAAAACCTTGTTCTATCAACACTTAGGTGTAAGAAAGGCAAAGCTTATGACCTTGATAATAATTAATATGTGACTATATTTGTACTTATTTAGATATATTGGAACTGATTCCAATTAGAGAGTCCTATTAGAGAAAATACCAAACCAGTTTCTGCTAAGAGAAGGTACAGATTTGAAGATACATATCTATTTCATAATATGCCTATGTGCATGCAACATGCACATGTCATATATGCATGTCATATAAATATACATATCTAATAATATAGTTATACATATATATTATTAAAAATCAGAAGAGAAATTACCTGATGGTTTCTTCATGATACAGAGAACTAACAACTGGCCCACCAAAACCACTCTTTGCCTCTTTTCCTTTCTTCTCCGGTATCTGTAGGAGGAAAAAAGATGGAAAAAAAGACATAGGAGTTAATATGCAATTAAAAACATTAAAAAAATTTCTAAGAAACACTGAAACTGTACTACTCAAGTCCTAGGAATAATTTTAAGGTAGTGCCTGAAAGGCAACAGGACTCTTGGGTTATTTCAATAACAGAAGAGCCACCTAACAGCCATACTATTAACTGACTGTGAGATGACGTTCTATGTGGATAATACGAAGCTTAGTGTGAAAAAGTGAAAATGTAAAAATGAAAAAGTAAACTGAAGTGTGATAAGGAAAACCATTCTAGATTAATTAAACTTTACTAAAACTTTAAATTCAATCACAAAGAAAACCAAATGTTTTCAGGTAGAAAGAAAGTAGGAGAGAAGAAAGAAGTTTAGATCTTAAACTTAAAAAAAAAAGTCTACTATAGAATAATTTCTACAACCAAAGATTCAGGCCTTTTTAAAAATTAAAGATTAATTTAGAAATGTTTCTTCTGAAACATGTAATATGGAAGCAATGAACTTGGATATTATTGTCTGACATCATCAACTACATTCTCTGCAGATGCCTATGTCTTGATATAATTGAGATTTTAGGCCAGGACATTGCAAAAGTCAACCTTTAATCATAAACAATACTTAAGAATAAAAATTATTGTAATGCTGGATAAGAAATGTACTCATTACCTTGCTCATGTAACTGTAACCTCTTTGTAGAGTATTTTCACAATAAAAACTTAATAAAAAAGATGATTATGGAAAAAAATTATTGTGATATTGGTTGGCTACAGACTCATATACATTTTTCCCCAATCCTTCCCCCCTCCTTATTTAAAGAAGGGATTTTGTTTTATTGATATTATGGTTTGATTCATTCTCACAGATCAAACCACTGTGTTAAGGAAAACACCTGGGTGAGAGAATATCAATTATTAATTAAATTGAGAACTAAGGCTTCAAGAAAAGGTAGAAATTTTGAGAACTAATAAATTCATGATAGCGAACTAAGGAAGTTGGGTGTAACTGGGTGTGGTAAAGTCCCACACCCCAAAGTGATGGGTATGCCTGAATTCCTAGAAGCTGGGAAGTCCCACCCTCAGGTAATGGGCATGCCTGAATTCTTGGGGTGGGGGGGAACTCCTTGGACAGTAGGTTATTGGACCTGCCAATCCTATGCCACGAACTTGTGAGACTTTGGAGCTCCCTGTGACCTTGCCCCCTGACCCCTAGTTAGGCCCCAACCAGCTTAGGCACCATGCCATGCCTGGTGTCTGCTGACACTCCTCAGATCACACCATGACATCCCTCCTTCTTTAGCTCTCCATTAGAGTTGACAAGGTTTGTTGGGATTATTTTTTTGTTTTTTCTTTGCTTTCCTACCCTCAGAATTCAGTTTTCTAACAGTGTTAAGTATATTTGAAGCTTCAAGTTTTTTGGGAACATGTGTCTGCCTGCAGTTGCTGACTCTCTAATAAAGACTCCCAATTCCATCTCTCAAAACATGGCTTTTGTTTCTTGGGACCAAATTCCCTATAACAATGGAAAGAAAAGTATAAAACCACAAATAAGTACTAATGTGATCAAATGACAAGGCATATAAAGTTTACCAGCATGAGGCACAGTCTTAATGAATACATGCTGAAAAGAATTCTGAGGTTGAGAAGGCCTTTTTTTGTTGTTTTTTGTTTTTTTCTGGTCAGTTGTGGAGCTTGAACTCTGGGCCTAGGTGCTGACCCTGAGCTTTTCAGCTCAAGGCAAGTGCTCTACCACTTGAGCCATAGCGCCACTTCCGGTTTCTCCCTTCTGTCTCACAGACTTTCCTGCCCAGCCTGGCTTTGAACGATAATGTTTTTCTAAATACAAGAAAAGTATAGTTAAAGTACGAATTTATTTAATATGCATTCTATTGGTAATATAAATTGAAATAAACAGATGTTCAAGAAATGTTTATTAATAAATAATAACACTGAAAATGAGAAAACTGGGTATCAACGAAAGGAGAAATAGAAATAGGACTCTGTATGGAGTGTTAGGTACCACTTCTGTCAAGAAAACTGACTACTAGAAGGTAACACAAGAAACAAAAAATCTAGATGGTTTGATTTTTAGATACTACACCAAAAGTAAAATTGGTCTTCCTTAAAATTTAATGTTCAGACAATGAAATTATAAGCCACAAAGTGGAAGAAAATTTTTGCAAAACACTTAGCTAACAAAGACTGGTATCTAAAACATTCAAAAAAAATTTTTTTGTTTTTGGTATAGGTTCAGAACTTGCAAGAATTTTACCACTTGAGCCACATCTCCAGCCCAGGTTATTTTTCAGGTAGGATCTTTATCTTTACAAGTGCTGATATGTCAGACTATGAGCATCCTTCATACTAATATTTCAAGTGTATATGACCAGTCTCATTTTGTTTAGTTAAAATAGGATCTTTTTTTCCTGCAAAAATTCTTTAGAATTTTTTTAATGCAAAGTCCTTCCATAGATGAATGCATTTTAATATTTAAAATTTCTATATACGGAATGTCATCTGTGAACAAAGATCGATTTTACTTCTGCCCTTCCAATTTATACCTTATTTATTTTTCTTATCTAAAACTATGGCTAGAATTTATAATGCATTGTTGAGCAGCAATGGTTAAAAAAAAAAAAAGCAAACACTCTTGTTTTGTTACTGATATTAGGGGGGAAGTTTTACTTTTTTACCACAAGTAGATTTTCCTAAATGTCTATTATCATGTTAGGTAAGCTTCCTCTTCACTTTTGAAAACTATCTTACCTTTGTTCCTCTGCATTTGACTTTTAGTTTGGATGCTTTTAATATTTTTCTGTTAGAACTGGAGGTATGGCTCAAGTGATAGAATACCAACCTTGAGAGAAAAAAGCCAGTGGAGTGTGTGAAAGGCCCACTACCAGCAGCAAAAAAGGAAATTAAAAAAAAAATTCTGGGCTGGGAAGGTGGCTCAGTAGTAGAGCGCTTGCCTTGCATGCATGAGGCCCTGGGTTCGATTCCTCAGCACCACATAAGCAGAAAAAACAAAAAGCCAAAAGTGGCTTTGTGGCTCAAGTGGGGAGTACTAGCCTTGAGCTGAAGAACTGAGAGACAGCGCCCAGACCCACGACCAGATCCCCCCTCCCCCCAAAAAAATTTCCCTCTTTTTCATGACCTTGTTGATATGTATTTGGTATAGTTTTATTAGGTTTCTTCCATTAGAGATTCTTTGAGCTCCCTGGATCAATGGGTTTGAGACAATAATTCTCAACAAGGAGGTTTTTTTGGTTTTTTTTTTTTTGCTCTCCATCATCCCAACTCCAGGATATTTGGCACTTAAATGCCTTTTATTATTCAGTTCTTAATACACTGTTAATCCTATCAAGTGTATTTTACTACTCTATTTCAAATACGATATTTTTCCATCTCTATTTCCACAATTTCCTCTTAGATCTTTCATTATTTTTTTTGGGGGGGGGGAAGTATTTGGGCTTGAACTCACAGTCTTTTATTTGCTAGGGAGGAGCTCTACCACTTCAGCCATGCTAGTAGCCATTTTTACTTTCATTGTTTTTCAAGTATCTCACTTTTTGACTGGGACTGCTTGAGCCATTATTCTTCTATTTATGCTTTCTGAGTAGCTGAGATGACAGGCATGTAATACCATCATACCCAGATATGGGTCTTACTAAAGATTTTTTTTCGTAGGCTAGCTTCTTAGTCTCTAAAGTGCTGGGATTATAGGAGTTCACCACCACACCCAGCAACATTTGGGTGTTTCTTTTTTCCTTTCATTTCTCTCTATATTATGTTTATGCTTCCCTCTACATTCTAGAACATATACAATCTACTCATAATAGTTTCATATCATTATTTCAACATCTCTATCATTTTGGCATCAGCTATTATTGATACGTTTTTTCCCGTGTCTTATTGTCCTATTTCAAAAGACTTATTGTAAGCAACACATTGTAAATTTTATACTCTTGTTTGCTGGGTTTTGCTACGATTTTGTTAAGTTCCTTGAAATTACTTTGACGTGTGTGTGTGTGTGTGTGTGTGTGTGTGTGTGTGTGTGTGTGTGTGTGTGTGTGTGTGTGTGTCTGTGTCTATGTCTATGTGTCTGTGTCTGTGTGTCTGTGTCTGTGTCTGTGTGCTGGTCCTGGGGCTTGAACTCAGGACCTAGGCACTGTCCTTGAGCTTTTTGCTCATGGCTAAAGCCACAGGTCCACTTGTCTTTTTGCTGGTTAACTGGAAATAAGAGTGTCACAGTTTCTTGACAGCCCTGGCTTCAAACCTCAATCCTCAGATCTCAGCCTCCTGAGCAGCTGAGAGGAGTGAGTAGCTCACAGGAATGAGATACCAATGCCCTGCTGATTTGATTCTTTTCAGACTCACTTTTAACTTAACTAGTAAAACCAAAATATTTTCAGATCTACAACAGCCCTTGGAATTGTTTGACATAATGCTTTCCTTCATTTTTTTTCTCCAGCTTGTTAGCTTCCTTTCACACATGCATAGACTAGAATTCAGCCAAAGGGAGCCAGCACTCTGAAGAGATCTGAAGCTCTTTATGAAGGAATTTCCTCTAAATTGTACCTGTAAATTCCAGCTTAAATCAAAGAGACTAGCCAATTTGGAGTTTCTCCTCCCTGCACTACAGTATGGAGTTTCCAGGCAACAAACTCAGACATTTACAGGGGGTTTTTGTTTGTTTTCATTCTCTGCTTGTAATTTTACACCACTTCTAATAAAATTTTTAAAAAATCATTGTTTTATTCAGTATCATGTTTTTATTCAGTATCATGTTTTATTCAGTAACTTGTATCTTGTTGCCTGCCTGCCTATCCCTCTCTTTCTTTCTCTCTAAATTTTCACCATTTGGAGGCAAAGCAGAGGTTCCCAAACATGGCTGGCATAGTATTCCATGCAGTAGTAAAATATACTTAATCACTATCTGACAGCTCTATTAGATATGATAAATACTGAATGCATAAGGAGTGAT